TTAGAGAGGTTAACGGATTCCACCTAGTTCTAATTATGAATTATTTATGCATGATTGATCTATATGCAATGACTATATCAAATGAACACTTCACAGTTTAGAAGTAATTTATGTCTATAATTACGAGAGTGCAATTCCAAGTTTATAGTGGGGTAACTATTGAAATTAATAGAATTAATTCATTAATTAAACTGTTTAATTATTTATTAATTTTATTAGAGCTCAAAATTATAGGTCCATAAGTCCCCGCGTATTCTTTATAATTCTAAAAGACACTATGGGAAAAATGGGAATTTTAAAATTATGAAATTCTAAAATAAAACACTCAAGGATAATTAATTGAGAATTAATTATAAATTAAATAATGTGATTATTTAAGTTTAAGTTTAAGTTTGAATTTTGAAATACACATGTGAAGGTGTTCACATAGTGTGAATGCATAGCATAGTGTGAATCCCTTTGAGATTCAAATTGCTTGCTCCTCATCGTTATCCAATTAACTTATTTGATAAGTTGTTCCATTTGAAATTCAAATTGATTTAAGTTTGACATTGGAATTTGAATTTGAGTCAAAATTGGACTGTTGGATAAATGTAGAATCTTACATTAATCCCCTACAGATATGTGCCTACCATAGGGAGGGAATATCCCTGTGGTGGCCGGCCCTAATGGATAAGGGAGGGAGGATTTTGTTTCAAAATCAAATTTGAAGTGGGAGATAATTAACAAGCTTTATCTTCGAGATAAAGATAAAACTCCTTCTAGGAGTGTGATTGTTACTCTATAAATAAGAGATTGTAGAAAATTGTGAGACACAATTTTTGCTCTCAAAAAAGCTAAAAGAGCCGAATTTTATAGTGAGAAAGAGGAAAATTTTCTCCAAAAATTTCACGTTGTGCATGTGTTGGTGTTCGTGGAAATCTTGAGTGTTCTTGCTAATCCCGTTTCTTTTTAGGTGTGTCCACAGACAAGTCTTCGTAAAATCAGGGAATTGATGAGGATGATTCGGTTTTTCTAAACTAGCATTGGTGCAAGGAACGTTTGAGGTCAAAAAACACAAGTTATCATCATGATTGGTTGCTAGGTATAATTCATAATCCGGTTATTAGTAAATAAATTAATGTGATTAATTTATTTGTGCATAAATTAATATAATCTATAGAGTATCTCAAAGGTTTTATGAAAATTTTTATTATACACGATCCGCTACTCACACGCTTCCACATCCAAAATCGTTTCGGAAACCAACATGAGATAAATGCACGGAAGGTCGGTGACACATTTTCATATGACACAAAATTGCACAACGGATGTTTATTACAAGATCTAATACCCTTTCTGAGAGCAATAGAAATTGAAGAATTTGGTTTAGAAATACCTGAGATTTTATTTGACACATGATCTAATCCGCGGTTGGACTCTTAGCAGTGCCGCAAGTTGGACTTCTCTGTTCCTAGTCCATGGTTCTTCTTGAGAAAATCAACTTTTTGTACCGTTTCGCACACATCTATTTTTTCATGATCATGACAATGTAATGGCATTAAATAGTCTGTCCATTATTTTCATTATCCAATATATTTGTCTCATTTGAGTTTTCATTCAAAACAGTACCTATATCATCTGTTTCCTCATTTGTTTCGGGTATAAGTTCAAAAATTGCTGGGACAGTTTCAGTGTTTTCAAACACATCAGTAGTGAAATTCGAATCTTCATTGTTGCTCTCATATAGTAATTTTTATCTTCAAAAAGGGTTACATTCATGGATACAAAGAGTTGTTTTGAGAGTGGATCAAAGCACTTGTACCCATTTTGATTTGAAGGATAGCAAACAAAAATGCATTTTCTTGCTTTTGGATCTAGTTTCCCACGCTTATTATCATAGATATGCACAAATGTAATACGTCGAAATATTTTCAAATGGACATCAACGGAAAGTCTTGAATTAAGATAACGTTCTTTGAAAACATTTAAAGGAGTTTTAAATTTTAAAATCCTGATTGGCATCCTATTGATCAAGTAGGTAGCTGTAAGGACACCCTCCCCCCATAGATATTTTAGAACATTAGCTAAAAAAGGCTCGGGCAACTTCTAAGAGGTGTTTATTCTTCTTTTCAGCCACTTCATTTTTTTTAGGGGTATTATTACAAGAGTTTTGATGCACATTACCTTTTTTATCAAAAACAAATCTCCCAATAATGGAATTAAAATAGTCCTTTCCATTATTACTCCAAAAAATTTGAATTTTTGTTTGAAATTGTGTTTGAATCATGGTGTAAAATTTTTTAAAGACTTATTCTGCATTAGATTTTTCTTTTAGTAAAAACACCCAAGAAACCCTAGTGTGATCATCAATGAAGGTTATAAACTATCGTTTACCCGAAAGAGTTACAACTCTAGAACGACCTCAAAGATCACTATGAATCATAGTAGACAGTTTCGAGTTTTTATAGGGTTGTGGTGGAAAGGATGCACGGTGATGTTTTGCTAATTCACAAATTTCCCATTAAAATAAAGAAGGATTTTTATTGATAAATAACTTGGGAAACAAATATTTCAGATATTGAAAATTTGGATATCCTAATCTAAAATGCCATAACATGATTTCATTTTCACTAATAAATGAAATAGAATTGAAACAAGTCTACCGAGCTTGCCTTCCAAATTCAGATCCATCTTCAAAGAAGTAGAGTCCTCCAACTTATTTAGCACTGCCAATCATCTTTCCCGTGGTAAAATCCTGGAACTCACAATGTGAAAAATGGAAGTTAACTTGACAATTTTGATCATGAGTTAATTTACTGACAAATAAGAGATTACAAGACAGATTTGGGACCTGAAGGACATCATTGAGAGTAATATGAGGAGAAATAACAATGGTTCCTTTCCCAGCTATTGTTGAGAAAGAACCATCGGCTATTTTTATTTTCTGATTCCCTGCACATGGTTTATATGATGAAAATAATTGTGATAACCCGGTCATATGATCAGTTGCACCGGAATCGATTATCCAAGAACAATTTGGATTGACACTGATAAGAGCAGCTGTAAGGTAATTACTTTTTTTTCAAAGAACAAGAGGGGTTGGAATTTACTGGGAGTTGTGATTGAAACATTTTTGTACAGGTGGTCAATTTGTTCCTTTGTAAATGGAAGAGTTTCTGAGGAGAGTTACTGTTGCCCTGTTTTGTTGTTGCTGGCTTGGAATGCCCGATTGTCACCATTCTGCTTCTTTTTCCAGTTTGCAGGCTTTCCGTGAATTTTTCAACAGTTCTCACAGGTGTGCCATGATTTTTTACAGTGATCACACCATGGCTTCTGCCTTCCATTCTTCCTTTCGCCCTCTGGATCATATCCTTTTGTAACCAGTGCAGAACTTTCAGCATCAAGACTTGGCTGGATGTCATCTGTTGGTCTCATCATGACATGTCTACGTGCTTCTTCTCTGTGAACTTTAGAGAAAACCTCTCTAATTGATGGGAGAGGTGTTCTACTCATGATTCGGCCTCGGACTTTATCTAATTCTTTGTTTAAACCTGCAACAAATACAAACACAAGGTTTCTTTGAATTTTTTTTTCTTGTACTGAACACTGTCATTGGGACTTTCCCATTCTTCCTCTTCAATTTGGTTGAGTTCTCGCCATAGTGTCATCATCTCGTTCTAATAAACAGTCACTTCTCGATCTCCTTTCTGGGATTTTCACATCTTGACATTCAATTCAAACATCTGAGAATGGTTTTCCAGGTCTGGATATGTATCCCGAACTGCTTCCCAAACATCTTGGGCAGTAAGAAGAAACATGAAGGGTTTCCCAATCATCGGCTCCATAGAATTAATTAACCAGACAATTACCATGGAATTCTCAGATCTCCACTTCTTCTGCTTCACATCATCAGCAAGCTCTTTTATTTCTCCAGTCAGATAACCAAGCTTCCTTTTGCCATTGATCACAAGTTTGGCATATTGTGACCATTCTAAGTAATTCTTTGCATTCAATTTATGAAGAGAATGATCAGTAAGAGATGTAGTGGAATGACGCTGAGTATCTTCATCAAAACCCTCTGAGGAACTCGTGCTTTTGGTGGCACCAACTCAGTTTTTGTCATGGCTCTGATACCAATCTAAATTTTGTAGAGAGAACTGTTTTACTCTCTTATTCATTAACGCTTAAAACATTACAGATTAAATAGGCTGAAGATAGAATCTCAACCTTCCTAAAAAATAGGAACTACCCAAACAATGATAAGCCTGAATCCTAAAAGATCTCTAATAATCCTAATTTTTCTCTTTCATTCAAATACAAAAAATCCCAACTACCAAATCGTATCTTATCGAAAATTACTTATTCCATTGGTGGTTATTTTTGCATATAATAAGGTCAATGAGTAGCTAATCCAAGAAAGAAAAAAAAGGGGTCAATTTCTTGGTTGATAATGTAGATTTGTTAAGTTGAAGCCAAATGGGAGGGGGAAAAATAGAAGACTAATGAATTTTCAGCATATTTTTTTTTTTCAGATATTTAATATAAGAGAGAAAGAGAAAAATATGTCATGACTTGAGATAATTAAAATTAATAGGTGAATAATTTACATAAGTTAATAAATAGGCTAAATTATTATTTTCGTCTTTAACTTGTCTGGTTATGAACTATAATTTGATAAGTTTATCTATAACTTATCTGGTTATGAACCATAACTTAACAAATTATAACCTATTAATTTCTATAACTAAAAATTAACCTATATACTTTTTTTAAACTTTTCATATTGACCTATTTTCTACTATTTTTGTTAATATAATTGCAGAAAAATGAGGTAGCCAAGGTGATATGGGCTTTCGTAGTCTACAGGAATGGCAACAATCAATTGCAAAATTCCTATTTTTCCTATATAACTTAAATTGCCCTTTAGTAAGCCGAAAAGAAAAAGAAAAATGACTGGTGTAGGTAGCACAATCCAGCAACCTTATCTTCTACGCTTCTAAATTGTCCCCACCTCTGATTTTTCCCACCAAATATACAAGAAAAAAAAAGGTTAAAAAAGAAAAAAAACAAGAAAAAGGAAGAGTTCTTTTTGAAATGGCAACAGCCATTCTTTCAACTGCAATCACCTTCATTCCTTCAAGACTTTCCTCATCATCTTCATCGTCATCATTTTCTTCATCTCTATTGACAACACCAATATTAGTTTATCCCAACAAAGAGAATGGAAAGAGATTGTTGACTCTTTGCAAGGCAGCCAATGAACCATCACAACCCTCTTGGATTCTGACAAAGAGAAGTCTTTCTATCAGCTTACTGACCAGCTTTGTTTTCGGTTTGGCCGGTAATGGCGTCTCAAGTTCTAATGCGGCCATTCTAGAGGCTGATGATGATGAGGAGCTTTTGGAGAGGGTGAAAAGGGATAGGAAGAAGAGGATTGAGAGACAAGGAGTTATCAGCTCTTCCAACAAGGAAACAGGTTTTATTTTTTATTTTTTATTTTTTTCTCTATTCACAACTTCACTTCAAATGCAGAAATTGAATTGACCATTTATTGATTTATTTCAAATTCCAATTGTTACGTTTAAGATTTTCTTTATGTTTAATTGATCTAGCTCTAAGAATCCCAGTTGTTTCATTTATAAGTTCTCATTCTATTTTCATCAGTGGGAAGATACAAGCTCCACTGGTGAAGTCTGTTGATTTGATTTAACTTGAGTGTGTGATGGGAAATCTGGTCTGGAAGATTTGACAATGTATTTCTCATGGCTTACTTTTTTCTGGCTGATGAAACTCAAGAAATATGGAGTTGGATAATGAGTTAAATTAGGAGTGTGCAAACCATAAACCTTGGTCATAAAACTCTAATTAGCTTGGCTTCCTTGCCTTCATAAAAGCAAAAAAGTATTGTTTTGTGATCAGATCAGTTTCATTGAAACCGCGGATTTGAGTTCATGGCTCAACATTTCACACAATTCCGCTTAAATAGTGTAATTTGTGCTAGATGTGTGATGTATAAATCACTTTGCACAGGATATCTACAGGATCTGGTGTACAAGTTGAGCAAAGTAGGCCAAGCAATTGACAACAACGATCTCTCCACCGCAAGTTCGGTTCTCGGTGGCAGCACTGATTCAGATTGGGTTAAGAACGTCAACGTAGCTTTCACTAAGGTCATTGTGGCACATCGCATTAGCAAAATTCTTCTCCTCTTGACTATGTTTGGTATAGCTTTCTGAATGCTCATGTGGATCTATTCAACAGCTAAGCTCTAGTCCTGAAGCGAAGAGTCAGGTGGACACTTTCAATTCGTCGCTTGCCTCATTGATCTCGTCGGGTGAGTTACTTCAATTACAAGTTGTCGTACACTCAACATTCAGCATAATCTTCTTGAGAAGCTAAACTGGTAGTACATTATCTCTTTATAGTGAATGTACGGATTATTCTTCTTCATTTTTGCAGTTACTAAGAATGATGTTGAATCCTCCAAAACCGCATTTGTGGCATCTGCCAGTGCATTTGAGAAATGGACGAATTTAACCGGGCTTGTTGCGCAGCTTAAGGGACTTTGAACACTCGAGGACAAAGACTGCCAATTTTTCATTCCATTCTTTCTTATAAGAGCATAACTATAAAGTTTCAGTAATTCTCTGGATATAACAGGCTTTCTTTATAGTCTTGACAAGCCATAATAGTCTGAGGTCCAAAGTCTCATTAGGCTTTTATAACAACATTTTTTCCCCACCAATAATGCAAATTTTGATGTTATTATTCTTTCCTGGTGAATTGAATAAATTCAATTTTTTTTTTAATGCTCAACAACCGGTGAGAAATATCCAATCATGAGAAACTGTTGAGTTACAACTCTATAGATTATGAGAGCAAAAATGACTCAGATCCGCACATCACACTTAAACTGGTGGATTCAAAACCAAAGAGCAATAGCAAAGCAGCATTTGGCAATGTTTGTACTTGGTGTTTTATTCTGGCTTTGGAACATTATATTTACGAGAATTCTTTGGTAGTGTAAGGAGAAAAAATAATAATAATAACACGCAGAAATCTAAATCGTCTAGTTTTCATTAAATTTTGTTAAACTAATGATATTTTCAATCTCGTGTGATTCTATTGTGATCGGATAATTTAAAACTATATATTGTATTATTTTATGTTTATACTCTACTACACAACTGTCCTTATATTTCAGTCTTAATATCTAACTATACCCTAATATAAAGAGGAAGAATCAATACAATCAACTCCGGTAAACTTGAATTGAATCCTTATTATTACCAACTTAATACAGGACAGCCACATAATAGTACATCACCATTATTTTACACCATAATGTTACAAAGCTAACTGCAAGAAAGTTGTATCACCAGCACAACGGATGGTCACAAATATAAGTCTAACTATGATTGTACAGATGGATGGATGTCTCAATGAACAATCAGATAACTAACATTAAGACAGAGTACAGACATTTTTTGCCCCACAAAGTAAAATGGGTCAGAATGAGCAGAGAGACGTGGCCATCCGGCTAATCTACATTATTCTCACGGCTTAGCCTTATCGTCCTCGTTCATCGCTATTTGCTGCCATTTTGAGCTGCTTCTCCGACCTTAGTATGTTCCTCATTCCCTCCTGCTGCTTCTTTCCCTTTCGGTTGTCCTTTGGATCCGGTCCCATTTCTGTCAATTTTCTCCTTTTCTTCTACTTCATACTTCTTCTCATCAGCACTCGCTATATCTGTTTTGCCCTGCTCCCGGGGAACAACACCTTTCTCCCCCCCAACCTCTGGTTTCTCATTTGAAGTTTCCTTTTCGTTTTGGGTTATTCCAGAACCTACAACATCCTTCTCGGGGGATGCATCTTTCAAATTACCCTCTCCTGCTTCGGTAGTTTTCTTCTCAGCATCATTAGGCAACTGAGATTCTTTTCCAACCCCGGTTTCTCCAGCAGCAGTAGCTTCTGTTTTATTCTCATCTTGATTTTCTTTCACATCATCCTTTTTGGTCTCATCATGAGCACCATCCTTTTCAGTTTTTTGATCATCTTGCGTGTCGTCAACTTTTGTTTCCTGAGTTCCTTCAGGGGCAGGATCTTTATCTTTGTTATCCTGCTTTGAAGCTGATGTTTTTCTGCTCCGTTTCTTTGGGGGCTCACTTTCACGAGGGTGAGCTGCCTTGGTCTTCTCACTAATTCTTGCAGATCTCCTTGGGGTCTCACCGGTTCCCCAATCAAAATCCGATGCAGCAGGACCACCAGGATGTGCTTTCAGATACTGCTCCAACTGCTTCCTGTTGCTGATTTCTTCCCCTGTTGGAGCTGTGAATATAATCTCATTTTTCTTCGGCGTCCCACCTTGCTTTGGCAAAAACTGCAAATAAACAAAGACCATACATCAAGATATTCTCACTTAACCAGAAAAATTAACCATGAATGAGAGAAATGAGCATTACAGAAACTCATGGACAGTCATATAGCATGTCAAGTTCATAGATAGTATCAAGTTTTATATTTTGAGGACAAGGTATTATATAGAATGTCAAAGTCTGAGTCATAGCAATACGTTGAGTTTGAAACAGTTAAAGACTTAAAAGCATGCATTTTCCCTAATTCAATTATTTTATTATGACTGTTTAACAGTTCGATTTCCCTCCAATTCACGTCAGAGTCATAAGTAATTTTGTGCTTTAAATTAACAGAGAAACAAATCTAGCAATATAGAGGTCACAAATCTCTTGCAGACTACAAGAAATCTAAAGAAACATAGATCATTCCCGAATATATCCTTACGTTTATCTATTAGGAACATTTAGGATTTATTTAAGTTCATTGGATAATTATGTTATGATTTTCATATTATTTGGTTTTATTAAGCTATAAGTAGAGGTAGTGACTGTATTTCCCTCCTCTCTAATTCTTCTTCTTCCCAATATTTCTATTTCTCTTATTGTCTCTGTTTCTCTTTTCCTTCTTCTTCTTCTTCTCTCTCTCTCTCTCTAATCTATATAGGAAAATATCACTAGGACTAAGCTTATTACACATTTACTTATCATGAACGGAAAGAGAATAAGATAGGTGTTTCCTTTTTCTCCTGATTTAGACATTCACCGGCAACTTTAGGAGTTTAAGGGGCAACCCAATTGCAGATATGCCATGATCAGGCACAATTGGGCACGGGCAACCCAATTGCTCCACTCCCCCCTGCGCGACTTTATGCTATGAAATCACTCATATACCCCTTCACGATGTTTTTATCTAAATAATCATAAACTGATGGACAGATTATTACTCGAGCTATTTTGAGATGCATTTAGATTGTTTTCATTTCTTCATAAGTAATCATGGATCCTCTTTTTTATTTAGCCCAAAAAAAAAGCCATCCTCTTTCTTATTTTTCTCTTTTTCTATCCTTTCGGGAACTTTCCCCACACTCATTTCGTTCCTTATTCAATTAGTAAACGCAACATAAAATAATTGCGCAACATCAGAACACTTGAAAAACAAACAAAAAATTCAGTTCCAAACCAAATCTCTTATTCAGAAATTTGTGCAGCATCAAAGCAATAAACCAAACGAGCTAAGCAGATTTCTATAACGACAATTTCTTGAATCCCAAGTCAAAGAAAATTAAAAAATAATAAGAAAAATATAAAATATAAAACGACTAGAAATATAATTTTGAAGAGAACCACTGCGAAAGTGTGAACCGTTCAGCTGAACCCCAACAACCCCAGGATAGCTGAGAAAAATTAGAGCACAATAAGCAAAACAATGGCAAAAAAGACAAATTTTTTACATAATTTCCAGAACATACGAACAGCCAAAGGCCTAATTACCGATTAAACACAATTTAGGAAATACCCACTACCCTAGCTCAATATCCATACCAGAAATCAAATCCTGCCAATATAATCTCACAAATTGCAAAAAGGAAACAAACCCATATCAAATTCCCGCTCAAAAACCAGAATTGGAGGCAAAACAGGCATAAAGGTCCAACAATTGAGATACCCCAGCACTAAATTGTAATAAAAAAAGCAAAAAAAAGAGTAGAGAGAGAGAGAGAGAGAGATAGAGAGAGAGAGAGAGAGAGAGAGAGAGGAAAACAAACCTTCTTTTTCCAACCAGGAGGAGCAGGGAGTTCCAAGGAGACAACTTCCTCATTTGCACTCTCCTTCTCCACTGAGCTCGCCATTCCCAATTCCACCTGCACAAACCAAACCAAAATTACTCCATAATAATACCTCTTTTTTTTTCAAATATAAAAGCCTTTTTATACAACAATAATATGACGAAAAAGAAAAAAGAAAAGAAAAGAGAAAAAAAGTAGTTGTTAACCTGTTTTTCTCTCTCCAGGAGCCTTTGGTTATGAATGAGAGAGAAAGCAAAAGACCCAGCGACTCACGTTGTTGAATAAGAGAATATGTGATGTGCTTCTTTCTATTTCTATTCTTCTCTTTCTTTCTAGCAGAAGAGCTTTGCGAGCGAGCTTCTATTTCAATTGTGTGCCCAGAAACGTGACGGTGGGCTGAGAGTGCGACACGTTTCAACCTCAATACGCGTTAACGGCTCTGATGCTGTTTGACTGTCTGTATAATTGGATTAGTTTTTTTTTTTTTTCCCCTTTTTTTCCTTTTTGTTTTTTGTTTTTTTTTGGTTGGAGGTGGTGCAAGTTTGAAGTTTCATGTGTTTCCTGTAACCTTGGCTTTCACAACGACTCGCATACAAATCACCCCAGCGATTTATCCCAAATAAATAAATAAAACAACTAAAAAATACAATAGGGAGCTCACTCATTTTTTGTCCTATTATTTTCAAATTTTAAAATTATATTTCTCATCTTGTTACTTGTTTAACGAAATAAATAAATTACAAACTGTTAGGTCAAATTTCATACCAAATCTTGCCATACACATTGTGAAAAAAGGGTAAAACTTTACACAACGAAATTTTAAAATTTTATTTGTCAAAACAAAGATGTAGGATATTGTTCATAATGTTATATATCATAAATACACAAAATCTAAATTACAACTCTAGGAGATGGGCAACTGTACTTCTAACAGAACTGCAACGATCAAGAACAGCGAGCAGAAGAGCTCAGCTATTTGTGAGCTTTTTTCCTCCTTCACACTCCGTTTGGTAAGAGTGAAAGAAAAGAGAATGAAAGAAAAGAGAATGAAAGAAAACACATAAAAGAAAGAAAACACATAAAAGAAAGAAGATATGAAGGAAAGAAAAGAAGTTTAATTTCCTTTATGTTTGTTTGGTATGATGGGAGGAAAGAAAATATTTAGTACGTTAAATGACTATTTTACCAATGATTTAATATTAATTTAGCTTTAAAATGTGGGTAAAAAAGTTATTTTAAGCTGAGTGGATGGATTAAAGTTTTCCACTCAATGTTGGAAAGATAAAAATTGGTGGATCCGACAACAAATTTTATCCACCCTCATCTCTTCTTTCCCATCAAACAATTCACTTTATCATTTTTCACACAGTAATCCCTCCACCCACTTATTTCCTTCTTCTTTTTCATCATACCAAACATAGCATTAACCTTTAAAGTTTAGCTGCGAGCTGCGGAATTGAGCTAGAAAATTGACCATTATCAAGTCATTTATTACTCCTTAGCTGACTTGAGCAAGATCTAATTTGAGCTTCGAGTTTTGACATTATCGACATGGAATACTAAACTAAATAAATAATGAGATTTAACAAACTTTTATACGGGTTAAGAGGTCATATTCCCGCACCAATTAAGTTTCTTAAAATTAGATATGTGTTACATTCGTATTAAGTCAGTTTTGCCACACCAACATTGTGATCAGTTGACCGGTCAGTAGAGACACTCAATTGAAACTTACGTACTGATAGACCGGTCCAGTCAACTGATATTGCGCTGATTTCCATATTTATTTCATTTATTCAATACCAAAAGCTTGTACAAAGCCTCAATTTTAATTCAAATAATCTAATATATAAGTTTTCGGGGTCTAGTAGATTTGAAGGGTTTGACATGTTAGACCTTTGTAGTTGATGGAAATGGTGGGGCTGGACTAGGGCCAAATTAGACCAAAGAATACATGTTCTAAGACCCTCTTTGTTGCTAAAAATGACGAAAATAACCTTGCAAAATTGTTAGAAAACTCGAGAAACATACGAAGAACTTCACGAACAAAGAATGGTGGGAGGAGAGATCCAGTTGTTGATTGAGGAATGCTTTGAAGGTAGTTTCTGTCATGACCAAGAAATTTATCGAAGGAATTATTGTATAAGATAAAATTTTATGGAATTCTTTGTATTAGAAATATGAATACTTTTATGATAAGTATTTATTGATATTAATATTGAATAGCATAGTATAGGCTAAAAGTTAGAAATTTCTGAACTATGATGCAATTACCGAATTTCAGACTGTAATCAATAAAAAGGCATGAAACGCTGTGTTATTCCCACAAGAGGACAAACACATGAATATTAAGTTTAAGAAATGAAAAAGGAATGGAAAAACATAAAATCTAGGGTTTTAGAAACAATGAGAATGAAGAACATACGGAAAAGGGGTTCGGAAGGCCGAACCGAGAAAATTAGGGTTTTCGACCGATTAGGGTTGACTGAGTCCAAATTTGTTGACTAAGAGTCGACCAATAGGTCACTCTTGAAAAGTTAGTCAATGTTGAGTAAAGTTGACAAGTTGACCAACTGTCTGAAAAACGCTGGTAAAATGCGCACCTGATAAGAATTAAACTGAACCGAAATAAGATAGTTATTAAAAATTAATGGTTGAGATTTAAGGTGATTAATGGATGGAGGGCTGAGATTAGGACACATGGAAAGAGAGGATATGGCTGGCCAAGACTTAGGGGAGAAGCCAAATAGATATTTTGATATTTTTGCAAAAAAGACCATAGAAAGTGTCAAAATTGCACCTAGGTCCCTCATCTCTTTTATGGTCGGTTTTATAAGGAAAAAATACAAGAAAAATGCTCATTTCCATTCAAGAAAACAGAGAATACTCAGCCAAAGAAAGAGAGGAAAAAAATTCCTAAAGTGAGAAAAACGAGTTCAAATCGAAATTGGCGGAAAACTACCGTTGATTAGCGTCACCGGAGCTTGCTCTTCATTCTTCTAGGGTAAATTTCAATTTTCTCCTCATTTTTCACCATATCTACACGTGCATGAATAGTAGAAACCATGGAAAAAAATTTGCTAAGGATGATTATTTGCTTATGGTTATTAATGGTATCGAAAAACCTAATGTCTAAAGGATAAATTTTTAGTTATTGGGTTTTGTGTTTAGAGTTTTTATTTATGGAAAATTCTTGTCAGAATAATGATGAAACCCTGTAGCTTATGATTTTTATGATGATAAAAAGAATGAGAAAGGTTGTGATATGTGTTTGAAAGGTTGAAACAACAGATAAAATGAGTTATGGTTAGCTCGGGAAACACAAAAATTATGTGGAACTCTGCTGGAATTTAGTTTAAGAATTTGAACAAAATTTGGTTGTAATGAAGAATAGGAGGAATGAGATGTATAAAATAGATTTTAATATACTTTGCCAAAAATATTTTCAACTTCTTAATATTGAACAATTTGTAGATAAAATTATGTTAAAACTTAACATTTTCAACTTCTTAATATTGAACAATTTGTTGATAAAATTATTTTAAAACTTTAAAATCCATTCCTAGGCGTAGTTATACATTCGACTTACCATTTGCATACCAATATCGTTATCATGCCATTAACCTGATAGCATTTTAGGTATATCATCATACTTTGTGACTTGAGGTTGCTCAGCATAGCCTCATTCTCTCGTATACCTTACTCTTATTACATAACTTACATACTCTTATATCCATAAATACTATTTACTTTATACACATAGTAGCATATTCAAAATACATGGTGCATCCATTACTTGCCCACATCCCACTGCTACATCCTTTTCTGCACACCGAGCATACAGGTTTCATGGAGCCGGTGCCTTACCCAAGCTTCCTACAACAAGAACAAACGGAATGAGCTTTCGCTCAACAAGTAACAGCAGACTACAACAAGTGCAATCAATAATGCATACCCACATATGCATTCATGTCTTACACCCTAGAAAAATTTCTAAACATTTAAAGCATTTATCGTATTATGCTTTCTTTTCTTTCATTCATCGTGTCAAGCTATCTTTTCTTTCATTTCAACATGTCATGCTTTCTTTTCATTCATTTCATCATGTCATGCTTTCTTTTCGTTCATTAGTGTTATGCTTTCTTTTTTTTCATTTCATACTTCTTTACAACTTTTGTTGTTGTGTCATTCGCTTCTCACAATTTTTACTTCTTATGGGACCCGTATCTGTTGTACCGTTGTGCACATACCCAATGAGGAGTGGGGGAGCTGCCCAAAACTAACTCACCCATGCTTTTATTCATAATAACCCTTGCGAAGGTTGGTACAAACAGTTTTATTAACTTTATATCATTCATCATCTTTACTTCATTCATGGTCTTACTGTCATCTTTTTATCGTGACAATGATTTTAATCTTAATTTTTAACTTTTACTTCTTATGGGCCCCGTACATGTTGTATCGTTGCACACATACCCAATGAGGAGTGAGGGAGCTACCCAAAACCAACTCACCCATGGTTTTATTCATAATAACCTCCCTTGCGAAGGCCGGTACAAATAATTTTATTAACTTTTATCATTTGTCATCTTTACTTTATACATCGTCTTACTGTCATCTTTTCTTGTCGTGACAAAAATTTTAATCTTATCATTTTACTGTCATTTTCTTTCCTATTATGACAGTAATTTTTGTCTTATCATCTTATTGTCATCTTTTCTTATTATAACAGTAATTTTAGTCATATTTTTGCATCTTTTAGCATTTTTATCAATTTTCTATGAAATTGGGCTTTATTCAAATGTTTCGCTTTCGTTAATTTTGACTTTTTCGTAGACTAAAATTTTACTACTACTCTAAGTCCATAAGCACATTCAATGCAACAAATAAGAATCATAAAACATCTTTTAGATAATATCATACATTGAACCTACAATATGCACAATTTTGTGCAACACAGAGAAATACACTTGTTCGTGACATAGAGAAAAGAAAACTGTTGCATTTACAGAAGTTCTTGCATGAAAATAGAAAATTTTCTTGTATTTTTCTCTTCTAAAACCGTTCATAAAATGCATGAGGGACCTAAGTGCAATTTTGACATTTTGTTTTGCAAAAAAACTCAAAATATCTATTTGGCATCTCCCCTAAGTCTTGGCTGGCCATATCCTCCCTTTATAGGTGTCCTAATCACAGCCCTCCATCCATTTAATCACCTTAAATCTGAACCATTCATTTTTAAGTATCTTATTTTAGTTTAGTTCTTTTTCCTATCCAGTGCGCGTATTATCTTCGTTTTTCAGATAGTTGGTCAACTTGGTCAACTTTACTCAACATTGGCTAACTTTTCAAGAGTGTCCTATTGGTTGACTCTCAGTGAACAAAATTTGACTCGGTCAACCCTAATCAGTCAAAAATCCTAATTTTCTCGGTTCAGCCTTCCGAACCCCTTTTTCGTTCGTTCTTCGTTCTGATTGTTT